AATAACAGAAACAAAATTAAGGGGGAGTTATAAAAGCCTCCCAGTTTGAAAAAATCATACTCGAAGAATAATCAACAAAAAAATTAGATAGATCACACCATTGAGAAGTCTTAAACTTGGCTGAATTGAAAGCATCAACCAAATCTTTACTCTTCCCTTTGAAGATCCTTTGATTTCTTTCAAACGAAATATTGGATAACAAAGCTTTAATTCCGTTACGCCAAAAAATCATAAACTATTTTTTAAGCATAAGCTTATGTTGCTAGAAGATCGTATTGACGTCAATGAAACAGGGAATTAAAACTAAAGAATAGGCCACTTGGAAAAATATCAGCCCCATAAATTTCTTATATTACAACTGGAACAACAATATTTTAATATATAGATGCTTCAAGACTTATTATCATAAACATTTATTGATAGATGTAGAGGGCAGTGACCCAAATACAAATAAAATCAAAGATTTCTGTTCTTGTTTTGTTCTAGTGACATTAAACTTGACAAATCAACGTTGATTGTAACTGAGCCAATTCCAGGTTCGATTGCCAGCTACTCACCAACAAAGTTAGCAGTAACAGCCCAAATATTGCAATGAAGGGAACACCTATAATTAACTTGCTCATGTTATTTATAAATCTATATTGAAAAAATATTTTTTTTTAAAAGTTAATCAATTTAAGACTAAGGTGAAAATAATGAATGCATTTGTTATAGCTATCAAAGACTAACTTAGATTGTTATCCTTATCACGATAGACGATAGTAGAGTGTCAAGATCATATTTGTCCCAAATTGATAAAGAAAAAAAAAAATCCTAAATCACCATCCTAGTGTCTTCTCCACAAAACTTTTGACCATCTTTCTAGTTTCAAAGATCTCAACAAGATAGATAAATGAACTAATAAATGAGTTTCTCTAACAAAGCTCCAACTTAAAAGGATTTTAAAGATAGACAGATAATAAAGTGGGATTCCATTTGGGACAATTTGGACGAAGGTGAGCTACGTCCACCTTATAGACATCAGCCTTTTTTCAAATTTCAATATGCCAGAGACTAAACCTCAAGGACTATAGGTTCACAGAAAGAAAGAAATCTGCAATAATGATCCAACGGGGGAGAAGTAGAACAGGGCCAAGAGCAACTTCAGAACCCAACTGAGACCAACACTCAACCTTGGTCTGATCACAATCAATCCTGACACTGATCACTTGGATTTTATTGTTTCATAAACTATATATTCCTCTAAAATGACCACCCTAATGAGATTAGCAAAAGAGTCTTCCTTGCAACTCAAAATAAAATTTCATCATCAAACTGCAAATATATCAGATGAACTCTATTCTTTCTCACTCTAAACCCCACAATCAGACATTTGACCGTCCCTTTAAAAATGAGTTTACTGAGAAGTGAGAATATAAGGCACCACGATAAAAGAAAATTCATGAGGGTTCCCTTATCTATTACCTTCCTAAAAGGAAGATCCCTTAGGATTCCCATTGATCGAAATAGAGAAATGAACTAGCTTGAGTCTAGTTCCATCTAAGTTCTCATTTAACCCAAAACCCCTTTTTGCAAAAGACCTTATCCATGAAGCTTTTTTTTTTTTTTTGATATCCGTGTGTCCGGGCCAGCTTACGCGCACCTCGACTATTCACGGACCAAACTACATTTGGTTGACAAGGAAACTCGTAGGATATTAAATCCTAGGTAGGTGGCCACCATGGTTTGAACTATTCCTCTAAGTCATTTTCTATTTACATTGGCCCTCATTGACCACTTGAGCCATTCCATGATGGTTCCATGAAGCTATATTGAGATAGTTATAACTTTCTCACGATCAATCTGACCCCTTGTTGATTCTGGACTATAGTTCTTGGTGGCCGATTTGGAAGAAGTACCTTGTCAAGAATTTTCCTACCTGCTGACGGATCACCCTTACAACAAACTAGACACTGTGCTAATAGGTCTAAAAACTTTAGTATCTACATCTACTTCCACTAATTTCTCTAGGATAAGGAAAATGAAGACCAAGAATCAATTAAGCCTCTCAGAATACCTTAAATAAATTCATCTTAATGATGTGCCAACTTTCTTGAAAGAAGGCCAAGCTCTACTCTCGAATCTGACAACCACCTAGCCAATCTTCTCAGGGGAAATGTAAATGGTTATCTCTAGCCACACTAATGGGTTGCCAATCCAAGCCCACCAAGAAGGGTTTGTGGATTTCGTTGTGCATCTATAGAGATATCTTTGCAATCACTCTGACTAAAATCAACATATATAATTAATAGGAGAATAGTAGTGCAAAGCACACAATGATGCAAGTTAATATAGTTTACCTTTGGCAATCCCTGAGTGATGGGAACACTTTCACCATCTCGAGGACTAGAAGGTGCTTGAATTTGTTCCCCCATCATACTATAATAGCAACAAACATACTAGAAGCATTAAACCATATTTAGATTTGGTAATTGAAAGAATTTAAATCGAATGAAAATCTCCAAAAGCATATTGCATCATATATAAAGGAACAGTGACTAGAAATAGCTTTGTGGACAGCGTCCACCTGGATTCCATAAAAAAGGTCATCTCATAGACACATCGAAGAAATTTTAAAAAGTTGATGGAAAACCAGACTACGTACATAGAAAGAAGAGTACCTCTTAAGGCCAAGAATATTGACAAGAGAATCAAAACCAAAAAACTCCAGCTTGGAATCTCGCTGGGGGCCATTAACTTCTATACGAGAAGGAGAGTTCCCTTCTTTTTCATCAGAGCCTCCCTGAGAACCCACTTTTACCTTCCTGCAAAGAAGCAAAAGATATAAAACCACACCACACTTGAACATATAATCTCAAGTCTCCAGAACTTGATCAAAACCATGAGAATGCCTCTTAATATACATATCCAAATAAAACCTGATATATTTCTTCGAATTTACACCTCTAAAATCAATAATGATTAAGAAACAACGCCTTTCCTTTTCCCAAACACAAAATCCACTTTGCCACATTCAAACCCAACAAGAGCATAACAAAAATCACAAAAACTAAAGAGTTTAAGACAAAAATAGATTACTTCATAGAAGGGTGGCGCATGGGAACGGAGGGCGAAGAAGATGAAGATCCCGGATCCATGGAGGACATTTCAAGAACAGCACGATCATGGGCTTCCACGGGGCGGTACTTCCTTCCCCTCTTCCCATGAAAATCCTCCTCCCCACTCTCAATATCAGCATTGTCCATTCGAGAACAACGTAAGATCAAATTCTCCCTCCTTTTTTCTCAATCTTCCGATTCTTTTCTGCGCGCCAACAAGTCAGGAGAAGAAAAAGATGCAGATCCAGAAAGAAGAAGGGTGAATGAACCGCAGATCCAAGTCAGACAGAGCGTATATAGGAAGCGAGACGTCGGCGAGAAGGGGTAGACCAAGTTGAGAAATTGAAAGAAGAAGAAAACCAAGAAAAGAAAGCGGATTTGGGATTTATATACTTAATTATAATTTCCCATATCCATGTTAATGTCAGAGCGGGCGAGAGAAACGGGTTTGAATGGGAAAATGGCTCGCGGCGAAGGAAGGAACCAAGGAAATTTTCTTTTTCTTTTTTTTTTTTTTCTTTGTTGGACTGTGTTTTGAAACGCAAGCGAGTACTTGAATTCACGGACAAGTAGGCGCGTGGAGAAACGCTGGTTCTTACCGAACTTCGCACAGTTTTCGTCCGTACGGAGGATTAAGAAGATTATTGTGCTAATTACTTGCAACGGAAATTTTGGGGGCTAACTGCCATTTTTATTTTACTCCTTTTTACCACAGATTTTATCTTCTTTCTTTTTTTAGTTAAAAGGGAAAAAAATCCTCTTTTTTTTTTTCAAATGTTTGTATTTAGTTAAGTATTGTGAAATTCATTTTAAAGTTTCAGCTTTATAATTAAAACGTAAACTTAAATTAATACCATGGGGTTTCGTTAAATTACTTAAAAGTAAATTTAATTTAAGCAAATTAAAGTTTCAAGAATTTGTGATTGTTGTTGTTACCTGATAAGTGAGAGAGAGAAGAAAAATGTGTGATTGTTGTGAGCGTTTTTGTGCATGGACGATACTATTTTTTTGAGTTCTAATTCCATGGTTGTGGTGGACCATTTTTGTGGTCAAATTTGAGTTTTTAACTTTGAATTTGAGTGCTATTTGATCTATTTGATGTTGTGATTCAGTTTAGGCATGTGCATTATTGGACTTGAATATTTTGTAATTTGATTTTTGTGTGACTATTGATTGATTGGATGGAGTTGAAAGTTTGAAGTTAAGAGTGACCTATTGAACTACAATTTAGACATGAGATTTTTGCAACTTCTCTCCTTGATTTAGAAAAAATTATTAGCATTCTTAACTAATATTAAAAAATTAAATAACTATAACATACTAATTTAAACTCACGTATTATCTCATTGTTTATTTAAATTTACTCTAAAGTTAATGGTGAGAAGTAGAATGGTGGGTTGCTTGCATCTCTATGAAGCATCTGTTCATAGTTAAATTTGTTAAATTTTTTAAAAAATTAAAAAAATATATATTTTGAAGACGTCACCAAACATAACAAAACACTTAAAAATATCTACTATTTTTCTTTGAGATTTGAGATCCAAATTTTCAATCTACATTTTTTTTTTTGGTAAAACAATTTGAGGATACGATCAAAAAGAAATAGTACATGCTAATTACCGTTTAACTATATTTATGTCGACTTCTATTGTACTTAAAAAAAAGAGACATCACATAGATGATTATGTGAATAACTAATTAAGAGAAATAACATGACTTAGCATGCATCACAAAAAAGAATTACTTACGGAGCAACCGTCTAACCCTACAACATTTGATATCGGAAAACACATAGAATAACTAATTCCTAAAGTAGGTGGTCATCATGGGATTTGAACTCATTCCTAGTTCCTTTAGACCAATGAATCAACCACGATGATTCAGAAAAAAGAAAACTCAATCTTTATCTTCAAATTATGATGCTCATTCTAGCTAATAGTAATACCAATAATGGCTTCACACCACAAAAAGAGGGGGAAAAGTTGATACATTTTTAGGTAGAGACATTGAAATAAAATGTTAATGAATTCATACCAAAATCTCCAAAAATTTAATCTCATAGTAAAAGAAAATGGAATGAAAATTGATGGAATTTGATAACAATTTTAGGCAGCTCTACCATGATTCTAGCCGTGGCACATAATACAATGTGGCTAAACAGATGGAGATGTCTGTCAGAATCAGAGCTACCACATCAAATACAAATTTTGGAGCAAACAGCCCCCACACCTGCAAAGATTTACAAACATCACGTCTGTGGTAAATGTATAAAAGCATCATCAAAACTTTGAATGATAACTAAATATGCAAATGTATCATATTATATAAAAGCATGATCAAAACTTTTACTGAAGACCATAAATTAAGCAAAAATTTTGAGAATATTTCTACGAACAATTCTTTTAAAGTACTAGCACTTTAAATGCTCCCAAGTATTTTTAAAATTAACTTTATCTATGAAACTAAATGTTGTGAAAGTTTTTTTAAAATATTTTTACATTGAAATACTTTTACCATCCCTACATAAATAGGTAATCAATTTTTGCTCAGAAGGATGAAAAAAAAAAAAAAAAAAAGTAACCGAATGGAGATAATTACCATCAAATGCCGTCTTTGAATTATGACGCATAATATAGTGGCTGTGACTGGAACCGCCATTATGAGCCCATACATCAAGTAAGCCTAAGCCAAATTAGAAAAAATGAGGGTGGAACATTTGAACTATGTTATAATTAAATAAAGTTTCTGAAGATAGTCCATCCAAACATAACGCTCTAGTGGGTAAGGCACCTATTACTATCCCATAGTTTGATTCAACCCTGCAGTAATTGAACTAAAAAAATAAACCAGCAAAGAACTCACTTGAGATAAGCGCATGAAGAGAGAATATTTTCCTTTTGCAGCCTGACTGGATGAATATTTGTTTGCAACAATAAAAGGAAGTCCAAAAACTGGAAGGATGGTAGAGAAGCCAAATGTATCGATCGTAAGAAGGATTGCTTGGCGAACTAGAACAAACTCGTCAAACCTGAGAATAGGTTGTCTAGTGTTGAGAAATTTGAAATATCCTCCATCATGTGAATATTAATCTAAAAACACAAGCGGCACTACAGAAAACCATTTCGACAAGGAAAAATGCATCTCATTATCAAAACGGGAAAATACAATGGATGGGGCAAGGAATTCAATGAAAGCATCAAAGTAGAACAAGAGTGAATATTAGTTCAAACAAAAGCATGGGGAAAGTAAGAAGATACAATCTCATCGCGCCTTACTACTACTACTACAAATAATAATAATAAGAAACTATTTGCCAACTAGGTTTAAAAGACAAGATATTTCTAACGCAAAAAATATATTTGCCAATTTCCACAAACAGCTTCAGAATAAAAAACACAACACAAAAATAATATTTTGCTATTTGTTGTGTACTTTCTGAGTCGTTTTCTAAAATGATTGTCCGTATATAATCATTAACTTGATTTTCACGTATAAACTGACTAAATGTATTAATTTATAAATTGATATAAATAGAAGTACAATAAGCACAAGAACAAAGGAACCTTTTGAAACAGATTTTTAAATAAAAAAATAAGATAAAACAGATCTTTCAGAAACATACATTAAAAAAAAATCGAGAAACTGGCTTTTGGAAATAAATTTCCGGAAATACATATAAACAGAAATACTCGAAACACGAGCTATTTAGCGACACGGAATGTGAAAGTAATATGCATGCATGCGACAACTGACGACACGCAAACAGAAATAATTTAAAACACCGAGTTTTCAGCAATACGCATAATATGCCTACATGCGCACAACTAATGACATACCCAATAAATGCAGCAGCATAGCGAAGGCCATCAAAGGCACACCTGCAGGAATATCCAATGGGTAAGGAGACGGTACTATGATATAAGAAACATTTAGTTGTTAAATAGAAAACAAACATTCAACGTTGTAGAATGGAAGATATTTGATGTCATGTTGGCTGCAGTAGAACAAGAACATTAGCAAAATTGCAGACTCGAATTAGAGTAGTAGAAGTTAAATACCAGTGGCCAGAGCTAAAAAAGAGACAGATAGAAAACAAGCTCCACTGCGTTATAGGAAGACAATCAACTGTCAGAATTCTACCATTTCCATCCTCTGCGTGATGTAGATTGTCCATACTTATTATGCAGTATCCTACCAAGATGGACATATAATCAAGGACAAGAAATAGATGCACAGGCATATAAGAAAACTAAAATTAGCCACCAAAAACAAAACCCAAAGCCTAAATCTAAAAATGTGAGAAGAAACCAACAGCACATATGCTATGGCATGGGCAAATAACAATATTCTGATTCAAAATGGTAAGCTTAATACGTGATTGAAACCCAAAGGAACATGAACCAATTTGTAAAATAGCATAAACAAAATGTGACTCATCACTCTCTATACTTCAAAAAGCATTGAATAAATTATTTGAGTTATATATCATGTTGGACAAAATGCAGCAATCAACTATGTTACAATTTAGTACTATAGTGAGCTCCCAATAAAATTTCACCTCCAATAACAGATGCCAAAGCTACCAAGGAACCTTGCTTTCCCGCTAGAATAATAATTGTTGGACTCCATGCAGCTAACATGGCGGCTGTTTTGGTTACTAAAGTTATGCTGCACTCTAAATGTTTGTCCTCGCCAATTAGCTGCCTAAATACTAGTAATGATAGCTGTCCTAGTCCAATAGCATAGATTATTCTCGGAATGCAATTTTTTCCAATGCCCTCAATGGTTGGAGCAAGATGCAACACATCATTTYCTAGTGTCCAATGGAACCCAATAAGGATATAACACAAAATGGTTCCAGACATTACAAACTTCCATATTCCCTTTGAACGGCTGCTAGCAATGATTTTATGAAGCAACTGTGCCAATAATACCAGTGCAATAATTGGCACAGCTTCCACTACATATGTCCAACCAGGCAGTAGGAATGCAATTTCAAGCACCCATGAAGGATAAACTTTCAAGAATGCAGAAGTATCAGCCTGCTTCAGTAGACCAACTTCAATTGTAAATCTACAGTAGATCATCAAAAGAAGGAAACTGAAGACCTGCAATGAAATCCGTACACAGTGAACACTGCTGTTTAGAATGGTATCGAGGTAAATATGTCAACCTAAGCTTAAATCCTTTAAATACTTACTTTAAAAAAATGTTTCTTATTCGTGATTGAATATCGTAGCATGATAATGCCAGTAGTAGCCAAAAGAAAACTTGTCACTTTTCCTTCTTCCACTGATATCAAGAAATTTTGGCGGGGGTGAGAGGAGGGTGGAGAGGGGGGGTTAAATGTGAGAGATCATATTTTGTACATCTCAATAATAATATAGCTGAGAGATTTTCAACTTACAAATAAAGCTATTTGAGAGAAAGCTGCATGCACGTATAGCCACCATAAAGCAAGAAAGCATTAACTCAAAAGTTGTTCCACAATCTTCAGTTGCAAAAGAAATGCTGCATTGTTTGCTAACCCTCTTTATAGCAAGGAAATGGACAAAAAGTGAAGCTACCATAATGCAAAAACCAAGGGTCATCATTTTTAAATTAAATTCTGTCCATTTAGAACGTGCTAGCTCAGCAACACTTGTTAGGAAATTAGAGTATGCATCAATTTGCCTCTTAAGAGAATGGACAATGTGGCTTCCCCCATTCTTAGATAATAAACTTTTTGTCATGTGGGACCAATTTTCCATTGCATCGGCATACAAACCACCAGTGTGATGCAAGTCTTCATCAGAAAATCCGATGACTGATGAAGCAGTATAAACATCAATATACCTTTTCACCTATAAGGTAAGGAATGCAATTGCATTCAGAAATAACAGCAAAGAAAAACGAAAGAGGATCATCTCCTACATAGCAGCATGATTGACTAACATTACAGTAAGCTTGAAAGATAAACGTGGGCAAATAAAATACCCTGCATTCTGTGTAAAAGCAGTTTTGATGTTATATCTAAGTGCTTTCCAGAGTTCGTAGGAAGGCAAGCAAGTGAGTGATTGAAGATCATGTCATGTCTCTGATCTAAGATGCACATAAATCTCATTTTGGGGTAATGTGCCTGTGTCGGACACGTTTAGGACACTCCGCGATACTTATCGGACACATATCATACATTTCTTAGTTGAATACATACATGTGTATCACATACTAGTTGTACAAAGTGAATATAGATTTGACACTTATTAGGCACCTATCGAACACTTGTTAAACATAAGAAATAGACCTAAATAGTAATATAGGATAAAATAATAAATTTTGAGAGTAAAATACATCAAACTTATTTCTTTAAACATAAAAATACATAAGTTTATTGACTTTGAATTTCCTTCCTAAAAAAATTGTATATTTTAATAAACATGTCCTAGATTTTTAGAAAGCAACATGTCACCGTGTCCGTGTCGTATCTGTGCTTCTTAGTCTTTGATGTATAATCTTTGAGCTCATAATGGAACATGTTATCAAATTTATGAAGTTATTTACAAGTATGATAACTGTGCTTTATATACAATCACACGACCATAGCAATACTTGAGTGGCATGACCATCAAAGCGAAACATGAAAGCTACTTATATACCTGCCAGGAGTTGATACAAAGTACGTTGACATAATTCTTCATCCATTCTTCTTGTTTTGACTGATTTAGGTAGTTTCCCACCTTCATACCTTCCCACTTCCATGTACCAGCACCTAGAGCAAATAACTCAGGATTTACACGCCCAATGCTGAAAAGATAGGGATACAAATTCGTAATTTCCTGATATGTTCACCGAATAATTGGTAGTGCAGGATACATCTACAAAACTACAAGGCAAGCGCTCAGCTTTCATTGTATTTTCTCCCATTTTAGATTTCATTTTCTTAAGTTATATTTATAAAATGATGTGCTATATTTTTAGGATAATTTAGATTGATTGAGCTCCAACGTATAAGAAGTCACTATCATCTGAAAATCCTAATTTTAATTTATTATTAACAAGATTACGTTTTTTTAATTCAAATTGGACTTATAAGTCCTAGTCTAAGTATAACACATTTCCACGATGAGTTAGGTTTATTTTGTTAAGCTGCCATAAATCTTTTCTATCAAGCAGAGTAAATCATCCTGGAAACATGCTACACTTAGACTAAGATTAACAATGCTCCCCTTAACCAGTGAAACGAAACCCACCTCCTTCATACGTCTACAAAAAGTTCCTCACTGTTTTTTCCAAGTTCCAACTGGACACTAATAAAATTTGGATTTTTTTACAAGTATAGGAAATACAAGGAGATCCTACTCAAATGGATTGAATCAAGTTAAGCCTGTCCATTTTAAAAAAGTACACTTTTAATCCGTTTGGAGATACATTTTTTTTAACTATTTCCACCATGGTCAAGCCCGGTCCTGATTAGCAATCTAAATTGAGGGAATCAGGGAGCAAATGCAATGCACATAAACACACAAAGGATGGTATTTGGCAGGTTGCTTACACTGCACCTTCCAAAAGGTAAAGGAACTCCAAGCAACGCTGATATAGTCACTGGGAAATCAAGCTGCAGGGAGCAATTAAAATTAGTACAAGAGAAGCAGTTTTTTATAAAAACTTTAAAATGTTGAGAAAGATTCCAAAACAAGCCATAGATAGCACTATCCTAACCTGTTGGATGGAGCTGGTACATATCTCCCTCCCTTCCTGAAAAAGAAAAAGATGGAAAGGGAGACCAATTAGCAGATACAAAATTATCCACCCTCAAACATCAAATAGTATGTCATCTTCCAATCCTTCAAGTGATTTTTCTGGAGATCAAACTATTGATAGAGCAAAAGTTTTGGTCGTGCCATGCATAGCAGATAACTCAACCATATACTTGAATTGGCTATTTCTCCATCCTAATTTTCATAAGACACAGAGAGTCTGACTCCTTGAACAATACAACAGGTATGTACAATCTTTTATAAGGAAACAAAAATATTCTAAGAAACATGAATGCACAACAACTCCATACATCTATACAAAAAACTCAAGGAAAAAAAACCAACAAGAACAAGTCCCAATTATTAGTTACCTGGAAAAAAAAGATAAAAATAAATAATTGCCCTTTTTAATTGCTAGTCGCTGGGTGGTGTCCTCTTGAAGAACAAACTGGGGGATATTTTCATCTTCCTCTTCCTAGGCTATCAAAGGATCCCATGGTGCAAGGCCTTCGCAGACACATATTCGAAGTACAACCAAGCAGTTGTAGATTAATGGTTTTTGCTCTTATTGGATAGTTTGGACAAAGAAAAATAGGAGGATTTTCAGTGAAGATGAAAGAAGCTTGGATCGGATGTGGCACTTTACTTTGTTTTTACCTTCTTCTCAGTGTGTCAACCCCAAGTTCTTTTGTAATAACTCCTTGACTTCTTTTGGGCCAATCGGAGATTTCTATCGGAAGTCGTTTGGTCTTCCCCATGCACCATGGCACTCAACACCCAGAAATTCAATCAACGTGACTATATCAACTTCAAGGCTTTCTGGCATTATGTAACTTTTTACGCCCACCCAAAAGAAAAAACAAGGTTTTTATGCATTGAGGCACATATTACAAAAGTAGTTGGGCAGTTAACCGTTCAGTTAACAGAAATCAACTACAGTTGAGAAACCGACAAATTCATTGTTCCCTTTGATGAGACTGAGATGTTAAATGATTATGAGACCTTTCTCATAAGTTTATTGATATTGTTCTACAAAATTTTGTTTGCCTAACTGATTAGTTCTTATTTGGTTCACTCATAATAAGGTCAAATAAGTAAAAATATATATATACACGTATTAGATGAAAAAAAAAAGTCACATAGACAGAGTCAAATCAGCATAAAATATGAAGATTCAGTTAATGGAACAATGATTTCAAAGATTAATTTGAACCATTCCTCAAATGTACCTTAGGGGGAAAAAGATCACTTTTAGAAGTTAAGTAGGGAGGAAAATGATTTATTCTCCAAACTTCAAAGATCAGAAGTATATTTTCCAAAGAAAACTAAAAGAAATTTGCAGCCACTTATATCTGTAGAGTTCAAAGAGAAAGGAAATACCAAGTCTAATTGACAAGAAGAAGTACCAAATTCAGATGGTATGAATGCTGGAGGCTTCTTGAAGCTCATAGCAAATAGAGACGTCTCAACCTGCAAGGTATCACCAAAGTAATCAATTCTGAATATTGTGATAAAACACAAATCAAGTTTTACTTAGTAAACATATATTATACCTCCTCTGCACTTCCTCCACCGTGGTCACCATTCAAAGTTTGTCCATGATCACCCATCACGAGAAGAAGAGTATTTTCATGTAACCCACCCGGTTCAGATTGGCTCTCCAGAACGTCCACTACTTTCTGGAGAGAATGATGGTTAGCTATGGTTGCAACTAAGAAAGGGAAAAAATATCCTAGACAATACAAAAAGGATAACATAATTTTTATCACAAGAGACTTATTTAAGCTCACAATATGCCTTGATATACCGGCCAATTTGAATAAATAACATACAAAATGGGTATATTAGGGATACTTGTGACTGCAAATAATTCTTCTCTTTTGTATTGCTAGAGCATACCTCTAAAACAGTATTATACTGCTCCAGCTTTTCAATCATTGGACTAGAATCGACACCAAATATATGCCCTGCATGATCCTATATGCATACCAGATGGTGAAGACAAGTTTTCAACGTAATTTCATTAGCATTATCAAGAGATTAAGAGATAGAGGAAGCAAGAAAAGTAGAAAGAACCAACACGAGATTTTATAACGTACTTCACACGTCAGAAGGGGGAAAAGGCTCATACCACACCAAGAAAATGAGCAATGAGAACATCCCAATCATCTTCGTACAGGGATGGAAGAAGATTTTCAATGCATCCATTGTCTACCTAAAAGAAAACTCTTCAAATTTTTAGCTGCTCATCATGCCTCAGAACTATGGAGAACATTCTCGATCAAAACGAAGCTTTTCGGAAAAAATAAAAGTAGAGGGGAAAAACTGTCCTAAAGCAAAACAAACTCTCTGGTAGAAGTAAGGCTTCATAAAGCATACCGTATGAAGATCTTTAACATTAAAGGAAGGATAGGGAAATGATTTCCTAAAATGACGAGGAAACAATTGCATCCATGTGTCATCCCCCATCATCACCACACGTTTTCCATTCTGAACAAGCTGCAAATGGATCCAAGTTGTAAGGATTGAAGGAAAATAATTTACAAAATAGCCTCTAGATGAGTAAATATTAAACACAGGTGCACTTGGAGATGATGCTTAACCAGCATCTATACAAGCAACAGACAGTAAACAAAGATGCAAGATCCAACCTGATGAATCAAGTTGTCTTCAATAATTTCTGGAGCACCAAAGCTGTTTCCAACATCAATAAATGTTGGCAGTCCACCAGTCGTTAGGCCCTGAAAAAAAAATACAACAAAATCAGACAACTTTTAAACTATGAATTATGATCTGATAACCCCCATCCCCATCCTCCCTCCAAAAGATAAATGTAGCCAGAAGGGAATAACAGAGATAAATAGCTGCAATTTTGACTCTGTCGACGAGACAAAGAGAAGAATGAAAAAAATTATACGTTACAAAAGCATCAAAGTAATTAGGTTTATCATGTGAGCCGTTAGAAGCATAAATGTTTTATTAGGGCTACGGAGAAAGCCAGAGTTTTCACGTAGCCTGTATGTATCCATTTCCCAACAATAAGTTATCTTTTTAATAACAATATGTACAACTGCGGGGTAGTATGACATCAGACATGCGAATGGTGAAAAGCTAAAATTTAAAACTCTCTGAAGTTCAGATATAGCACGATAAACATTGCATATGAAATGGCCAAAAAATAGATGACCTTCAATCGCTGCAAACTTGTCGTTGGTGGATCAGCAATGGCTTTGAAAATCTTGGCTGATGAACCCCGTTCTGATGCCATTTTATGCAATACCTGCAACTTGTCCATCCATGGTTTCGATTCTAAGGCACATAAATACGAGTGGTCAGTCTTAATTTAGACATCGCTGAGCAAAAGTGTGACAAAAACCACATCACTTATAACGGGACCTAAGGACTAACAATTTAGAATTGGAAGTAGCCTGTGACCCACCCGTCACTGGTATGGTATGAAAGCCAAAATACGAAATACGAACTTGAAAAACCATGTACATAATAAACAGTAAGGCACACTGGTTTAGCTTAAACTAAATTGAAAATACATGCATTCTAAACTAGCAAATCAAGATAGCTGACCTTCAAAGAATGTACTGGGAGCAACGAAATCAAACCTGATATTAAAATTGATATGAAAGAAAACAAATTAATATTAAAGAATCAGATCATAGTCAACGCATTATAAAGGTTGTGAAGTAACGGGGAAATGAAGCAAACCGTAGAGCATCAAAAACAATGATGAGGATGCGATTAACAGCAGGTTTGGTCCAGCAACGGCTGAAATTCGCTGCATCAGAGGGAGGAGGAGCCGAAGGATTGCTATCAGAAAGTGAATCGGGAGTGAAACAAGGAGATTGAGAAACATCGGAGCAGTGACTGTAATGAGGAAGCTCTGTACGAGTAAGAAGAAATCCTTTGACGAATATCAGAATAGCAACAGCATGAACCGCCATTATAGCCCAAAACGGCCATAACAGATTCCATTTTCTCATTCTTTTTGCGCGCACTCTCAGTTCAGATTCAAAACACCCTCCAGTTTTCAAAAGCAACACGTAGAAGAGAGAGGAGCCGCGATAAAGGAGAATCGAAGAAAGAAGGAAGAAGAAGGAAAAGTCGAACTTGGTCCAGGGGACAGGCCCAATGCCTTGATTGCGGCCCATTTCCTTACGGCCCAACCAACGTCAGTATTTTTATTGGGTAATTTTGAAGGGGAATTTTAAATGGGTAGCATTTTTAAAATCAGATTTTTCATTTTTTTTTTTCATTCTAATTTTTCTTGTTCTCGATATATTTTATTTTATATATCCTACTAATATAACTTATACGTACCAAATATAAAATATACAGCTAATATAAATGATATATCTAATATCAAAGTAAAAGCGAGCCTAACTTATCTAATATTAAAGCATACCAATAAGAGATATAATTGATATTCCTATTTGTTATTTTAATTTGACCTCCGTGTTTGGTTTGTATTTACAAATCATAAAATGTATTAATTAAATAATAAAAATATATAGCAATTGTTTTTAATGTATAAAAGAAAAACTACAGTTCTTTTAAATTTTATTTAAATTCCTTACAATAAAACTAAATGAAAACTTGATTAACCGTTTTCTAAAGTTAATTTATTTTATGTTTAATTAGTTTGTTTTTACTGCCCACTTGTTATTGGAAGTCAAGTAAGAAAACTTTTTACTTCTAATTATATAAAAATCACCTCAAAATTCAAGCATATATAAAATAACTTGTATTTAAAATCACTTTTATAAAAATAATGGTAAATAAATATCTTTTTCTAAAATTTACTTATTATACTATCCCTTCAAACCCGTAATTATTTAGCATTTCAAAATTTATAGACTTATGGATAGTTGAAAATATTATATCATTGACCATAAGAGCTTTGTAGCAATAAGTTCCTATAAACAATATATTTGAAAAAAAAATCAATCAATTACTTACTCAAACGTAAGATGTTCAAATCTTCACCTTTTTATTATTATTTTGGATTTCTAATCCTCCACCTAGATTGAATTGTAAAAATAAGTTATTGTCAACACTGAGTATAATCCAACGACACTAGTTTTACAAGACATCAAATTACAAATTTAAATAACAACTTTAAAATAAAAATAAAAGTATCTATTTTCAAAGCTTGTAAATACTTTGATTCATCTTGGTTTCGTTCCAACGCATGAGAATGGGAACAAATTTCCTAACGTAGTTTGAATTATCAATTTAATTTATTTTTTCATAACCCAATTTGGCACCATCCATTTTTGCACAAATTTTAAAATTCAATAGATTGTGGGTAAACAGTATGTGGCATGCCATCTTTAATAAATTTCCATAATAACCTCCACATGAAAGCATTGTAGATTCAAATTTGCTTTTGAAACTTTTCAATTTAAAATAATTATTACGTGTCATTATTTATAATAAAAATTATGCACTTTCGAGTTTCACGCTTCCTTTTAGTCTCTAATTTATAGCGTTCTTAAAGTCACTTTTTAAGAAGAGTTGGGTAAGAAGGACACGTTCGCCGCCCATCTTTTCAAGTTTTCTAGTTTACCAAAAAAGTTGTATCGGGTACGACGTACATGGTGGGGATCGAACTCACAACCTTAATACTCACTTTGACAATTTACCAAAAATTTTGGTGAGATCACCTGGAACAGTTTTATAGCTTTAAACAGTATTTTGTTCACTGTAATTTTAGTATTAGTTCTTTTTAGTTTGTGTATTTTTTAAATTTTATTCATTTTCGTCACTGTATTAAAAAATATTTGTTTAGGCCGTTATTTTAAAAAGTGACTAATTTGATCTCTATAGACAAAATGTTAACACAAATTATATAACATAAATATTTTAATACAAATTTATAGCTACATTTTAATAATTATAATAATTGAAGTGTATGCAAGATACAAATGAAAATAAAGTTTTTCAAAATTTGTTGGATTTGAAGAGTTTTGAAAGTAAAAGATCAAAATGAACAAAAATTACAAATTTAGGGACTAAAATGTACATGTTGAAGATACATAAACCAAAGTAATATAAACATCGGTTTATCAATGATTTTTTAAATCACAATTATTTATTATAACATTTATATTTACCATGTAGTTATCTCTCTATGAAATTTGTTAGAGTTTTGAATTTTTGTTGTTTTTTAAACTCGACTAAAATATTGTTTTTAGGAAAAAGGAAAATTAAATGTAAAATAAATAAAACATGAGTATATAAATAGTTAGTACTTGTGTAGTTGTGTGGGTCATTACATTCCAAAGCTATTGGTTAAACTTTGTGACTCTTAAACGTAAAAACACACATTTGTTGGTCGTTTACATAAAACATGAGGTTATTCAAACCTTGGCGTGCTAGTTTTAAGCTGATAAAAGTTTAGTGATTTATTATTATTTTTCGGTATAAGATGTAGGGATTCGAATTTATAACCTTTTAATCAGAGAGTTATGTCAATTACAGTTGAATTAAACTCATGTTGTGACTTATTAAAATATTATTGATAAAAGTTTAACAACTTATTAAAAGATTTTTCTTCACGGCAACTTATGTATGATAAAGCGATGTTACTTCTTTCTTTCTTTATTTTCCTTTTTAGCTCATTGCTGCCCAATACTTATTATACTACAACCATTCTTATTCCAATAATAGTTATAAATTGCTTGGATCATAAGGATTATAATATCATTTTTAAACGAAAACATACGAAAGAAAGTTAGGAAAGCATTAATTAGATTCTCCTCTCTAATAAAGTTGTTAAGAGTCACGAAGAGGTCTATTTATTTATTACTATTATTCTTAGTACAACAATAGTGGGGATGAGGGATCAAATTTACAATTTAGAGAGGATGAGTTAGGTATTTTAATCGTTGTGCTAAGTCATTTATTTATTACGGTAGAATCTTATTTTGGTTGACATTTGAATAAAATTGAATAATTCTGTAGGGAAATTTGTTACAATAATTATTGTAACCAATTCCTTATTGGGTTGTTACGTTTAAGATGCTGTGACATAACAATACTGATTAATTAGTGTGCAGCTCTAATACATCTACTCAGAATAAATACTATCCTAATAAGTCATTTATTTGAAGCTAAAATGAGTTTAGCTTAGCGATTAAAATATTATTTTATTTTTTTGGATGTCGTACGTTTAATTTCTCAACATTTATTCGAATAATAAAAGTTTATCCAAATTTTTTTAGTACAACAATTTGAGAATACGAGAGATCGAATATCTGACATCGAAAAAAATATATATGTCAACTATTGTTGAGCCATGCTCGTGTTCATGTACGTGTATTGCTTTTAACTGTGTAAGTATAAGAAAAAAAGGGAGAGAAGTAATTGTTAAAATTGTTATTTATTTATTTTCCTAAAAGGAGGAACATTGTTATTTATTATTGTTATAATTTTATAATTAACGAGAAAATATTAAAACTGACGATATTATTTTAAAAAACGTTTTTTTAGTACAACATGTGGGGATGAAGTATCGAATTCAACCTCTTGATGAGAGATATATGCCAATAACCATTAAGCTATGCTCGATTTGGCAAAAACATATTTTATTAAACCATGAACCTTACAAAACCATAAGGAAATGTATTTATTATACAACATTCAATTAATTAAAATTTTTTATTAAAAGTTAAATCTACATTTTTTTTAATACAGTAACATGTAGGATTAGGATTGGTGATTCAAACTCAAAACCTTTTAGTCGGAGATAGGTATCTTGACTAGTTGAGCTAAGGTTAAGTTGAGACATTAAATCTCACATTTCTTCCCCATTTTAGGCAGAAAAAAATATATATTCTATAATATTTTATGCTTCTACTTATTTAACAAGTTTTTTTTAGCACAACAAATATTAAGATGTATGCTGAGATTTAATTATATGGTCTCAATAAGAAGAGTGGACATGTGTTGAGGTATATATCGGCAGCATAGACCATTTTATATATAAACATTTTCTTATTTTTCTAATTTTGAACTTGTACGAATTTTAACATCTATACAAGGAAAAAATAAAGAATTTAGAAAGGAAAGTTAAAATATTTTAATAAAGTTTGAATGCAGTACTTTTGTATGACCCACGAGTCAAAAAGGACAATAATGGCCGAAAGACTTAAAAAATAAAAAAATAAAAGGAAAAACTTCTAATGCTTTAAACTTTTAAAGTATAAAATTATCGGTCGTCAGTCATAACTCATCATCAGAACTTTGGAAAAAGTTGGGACAACAGAAAGAGAAAAAGGAGGCAAAGCCGGTAGCCGGTAGTCACATGCCTAAAGGTTACGACGGCCAATTGCCTCTTAGGAGGATTTTTTTTAAACAAATATTTTTTATTCATTTTTTCTCGAAATTTTTTTAGTACAATATATGAGGGTGGAGATCTCGTAATTTTAGATATATGTCAATTACCGCTAAGCTATACTCACTTTGACATATTTTCTAGAAGTTAAAAGGAGTTCTAAATTTTTAAAAATAAGAGTTTTTTTTTTTTTGTAAATTAAAAGGATGGGACACAAATATTTAATATAAATAAGGTAACAAGGATATGTTCAACAATTAATTTAAATATAATTTAAGTAGATGAGATGTCTATTACATTCTATAACAATGTTTTATTTCTTATCTTTTTAATTAAACTTTAAAAGAAAAATCTTATTCATTAAAATATATTTGAAATGATTTAATCTTATTCATTAAAATATATTTGAAATGATTTAACAGCGGAATATATAAATAATATTTGGTTATTTTCACATGTTTTTGCATTTATTTGTTTACCTATAATCATTATAATATTAAAACTTTTTAATGTATTTCATATTCTGTAAAAAACCAAATATTGGTCATCCCACGCCATATTTTATATAATTGATTGTCTTGTAAATAACACATAATTGGTTTATTCTCTCATTTCAAATAATGTTAAATCCTTATTTGAATCGAAGTATTGATTAGATTAAAATTAAAAGTTAAATCGTATAATTACAAATTTAATCAAATCAATATAAGTAAAAAAAAATAATATATATATATATTTTGCATTTTTAAACTTTTGTGAAAGCAAAGTAGAAAAAATATATATTGCATTTTAAAATTTTTTGTGAAAGCAAAGTAGAAAAAACAAATTAAAAGCAAAAAGCTTCTCGGCGACAACGTCATCAATCTACTTGTTTTCTAGAGAGCATAAATAAGGAGATCCGACGACTTTTTGATTGGAGGTATATATGGCTGAGTTATGATTTAAACTTCTATTTATCTTTTTAATAGCTTGTGTGAGCTGAACTATAACCATGTTCACATGTTAGTTGTTCCAAATTAATGATTTTAGTTCACCACAATTTAATTTGTTACCATAAGGAGCATAGACTTTTTCGTTAAACTTGATTGATCAAAATGGCAACAATAATTCAAGAAATATTTCGTAAATTTGATAGAATTTCAAGCAGAATCAAACAAATTTGGAACCAACCTCTCTTTTGAAACTGGAAATTCTTCACGCAATGAAAGCAAGAGGACCGCCATTGATGATGGGTTGTGAATAATAATGGCAATTGGTAGGTATTGAGATGAGCTTTCCAATTCATTGGATGCTTCCCGTTTCTTGGTTTTCGAGCTCACGCATTCTCTCTCTTCCGCCTCCCTCTTCAAGCTCTTATTCTGCGGAAAGGACGAACGGATAAGGGGGACACTCTTCTTGGGGTACTCCCAAGCTTCTTTTTCAAATTTAAGGAAAATTTCCTTTTCTGTTTGACGATTTCTCAGAAAAACCAACTATGGTTGTCGCATTGTCCCTCGGCTATGGCTGTAGTTCTTCGGGGTGGGACGGGGGCAGTGGATTCTGCCGCTGACAGCTTCTACATGTCAGAGCGAACTGTTCTAATCTTCTTTTTCCATCATTTCATCAATTAAAAATTCCCACAGAGAGAAATTTTTCTGCGGGACTGTTCTGAGCCGAGTCCGAGGCAACTTCTATTACTTTTCCAGTTTATACATGCATTTTTAACTAGATCTTAATGATATTTTGAAGCTGTGTAGTTCTGGTTAGTTTTCTTCTTCTGTCTTCTGTTAATCCTTGGGCCATTCAAACGCTGTAAATCGCAATGCACGGGTTTGAGCCTAGAAGATTCAAGGGAACTCAGCTAACAACAGAATTCTGCGGCTACAGTGGTATTTTTTCTTTTTTCATGGATCCTGTAAATCTGGCACCTGGGGTATCGCAGGTTATGAAATTTTTGTAACGAGCTTTGGATTTTAAGCGGTTTGTTTGAGATTTTGAATCACCTAAACTTGGGTGATCGTGAAGGAGGGAGAAAAGCTTGTTTAAAGGGTTTCCGAGACCAAATTGTTTGTGTTGATTTGGAGATTCTGTGGAAAAGTTGAGCTGTTCATACATTGTCGAGGGCACATGACTAATACGAATTTATGTTAGGGAGCTTCTGTTTTTTTTTTTTTTTTTGAAAAACTCTCCTCAATGGGGTTCCTCCCAAATGATTTTGTTGCTTGAGCTTCCAATTGGATCTACCATTTCTGCTGTGTTTCTGATTCAAATTATATAGGAAACATCTCTTGTTTAGTAACTATTTAGTGAAATGGGTTGTGCTGCCTCAAGTATTGATGAGGAGGAGAGGGTGCAGGCTTGTAAGGAGAGGAAGAAGCTAATGAAACAGTTGGTAGGGTTTAGAAAAGAATTTGCAGATTCCCTGCTAGCTTACTTGAGGGCATTGAAAAATACCGGTGCAACCCTGAGACAATTTACTGAGTCTGAAACATTAGAGCTTGAAGGTACTATTTATGGCTTGGCGTCACCTCCATCACCACCTCCCCCCTTGCCTCCCTCTCCACCACCACCTCCGCCATTTAGCCCTGATTTGAGGAAGTATGGAGCTGAAGATACTCAAAAGGATGAATTTGCCCAAGAAGAAAGCATTGTCATTGACGAGGATGAGGATGATCACACGCCTTCAGCTCATCCAATTTTAAGCTCATCTTGGGAGTATTGGGACCCTTTTGAGCTTTCTACTGTGCATCAACAAAAAAAGAGTGAAACTGTGGGAGTTGAAGAGGAAAATTGGGCAGAGACTAGGAGTGAATTTGAGGAAGAAGATAAGGAGGAAGAAGCTGTAGAAGACGTTGTGAATCCAGTACCTAAGAGTCCAGATCAAATGGAATTAGTTAGTTGTGATTCGGCAACAACTAGCTTGCATATTAAGGACGCTACAGACATGGGCATGATATCCTGGAAAAGCAAGAAATCCTTGGGAGCCACAGTCAAGGAACTTGATGAGTATTTTCTTAAAGCATCAGCTGGTATAAAGGAAATAGCTGTTCTCATTGATATCAGCGTAGGAAATGATTTTCCGCCACATAATTTCAGGGAAAACAAGAGTTAGTTCACTCTTTCTTCATCTCACTTTTTTTGCCCCTCTTGTGCAATTTTTTATCTCATTATAGGTTTCATATTTAAATTTCTCAGAAATTGTCGATAGTAACTTTTTGTTCTTAATGATCACCTATTAGAATTGGTATCATTTATATCTTCCCTTTAATTATGGCGTTGAACTTATTAATGTGGTAAATATTGAACATGCTGCCACTTACATCTCTTTTGCAATTGTAGTCTGTGACTTCTAATGTATTTGTTCTCAACTCTAAAAGAATTCAACACTTTATATTTTGACATTCTGTGGTCGAGTTCTCAAGGCTTTTTTAGGGTATGCCTCTTTCCACATTTATTTCCTGGATGTCACATGCTTTTTTCTTATTTTTAAGATGCATACTTGTGAGGTTTAGCCAAATAAGATGCTTTGTTTAACCTTGGTTTCAGATAATATGATCTTTCATCACGTTTATGCACTATAAATCTTTTAGTGAAATCTATGGCATCAATGAAAATTTCAGTGCATAAACATGATGAAAAATATTTTGCAAATTTCAGTTCCCGTTACTTCTCTGCAAATTCCTTCAGCAGTTCTTTAACCTATGATTTACAGGGAAGAGAAGCAATTCTGCTAAGGTCTTCAATGCATTATCACGGAGGTGGTCGTCTAATTCAATTCAGTTTACAACAGATACAGCTGAATTTTGTGGTCCCAATGAGCCATGCCGGCCTGGAGCTCATTGCATCACCCTCAAAAAACTTTATGCAGCAGAGCAAAGACTTCAGAAAGACGTTAAGGTAAAAATAAGAATCATTTGCGCAGAATCTCAGAATATATCTTTTGTTTGTTTTATCATCATCAGAGATTCAAAATAGTTTTAGATTTTGACGATTTATGTCCAAGAGAAACATATGAAATCCTTTGCAAAGAGGGAAAAAAAGAAAGAAAGAAAAAGAAACATATCAAATCAAAGAAGTGAAATATAGTCAAAGATTATATGACGTCCTTGTCGATATGGATATCATTGTTTAGATTAATATCTGCTTCAAGAATTATTGACCGTTCTATGGAGTTTGATCACAATGAAGAAACTTTCATCATCTATATTATTATCCTATAGGTTAGTTTAATTTGAACCTTTTCCTCTCATCTCCCCACCCACTTTTCCTTCTATAAATTTTGAATAATCCTCATCTCCCAATACCCACTTTGCTTTTGTCACGTGGAAAAAAATTGCCCAAATACAATCAAAATTTTCCTTTGGTCTCTGACTGTTGGGTGTATTATTATGCAAGATGAAGTCCAGCTAAGACATTCTGATATTTTCGTCTCCTAATTAGTGCTAATTGTATTGTCCCCAAGGGGTAACCCAGTTGGTAAGAGCTTGTGGTCTCTTGTTGAGGTTAATACCAAAAATCCTTAATGTCTCCTGAGTTCGAGTCTTGAGGCGGGTGTGGGTGCCCCTGGGTATAGGGGAGCAAGGCTCTAACTCCTGGTTATCCGAAAAGAAAAAGGTATTAATTGTATTAGAAGAGTGAGTAGACATCTGACACCTGACAATATTTTTGTGACTTGTCTTTTATACCTCAAATTGTGGAGTCGTGGACCAAGCTCTCATAGATTTTTAACTGGACCACAGCTTTTTCAATAACATGAAATGCTTAGCTCTCCCTTTTCTGTGGTCCTCATTTCAAGAACAAGGCCAAAATTCTATTGAAATGTTTCTTATCCAAAAAAAATAATAAGGCCAAAATTATTTGCCCCCTTCCCAAGAAAAGAAGAGAGAGAGGACGAAGAGCACTTCCATTTATTATTTAATAAGAAATATATGAAAAAATCAAATATCACGATGTATTTAGTGTTAGCCTACATTTTATCATTTTTTGGGTTGGAAAATTTATAAGATGTATTAAATCACCAATGAACCCAAAAACTTAAGCTATTGGGTTAAGACAAATTTTAACTATTTATTGATATTCTAGTAGTCTCATCACTTGTGGGCTTGAAAATTTGCACAAGATCTTACAAGTGGTAATCAATATTAAACGAGGGAAAAAGTGTGATTACAATAATTCAAACTTTGATACTATATTGAACTCAAAAGTTGAAGCTGATAGGTTATGGAAAATTTAATTATCTATTGATATTCTAACGTGATGAATATTGTGTTTGATAATTAGAAACAAAGTTCAGCCTAGGCGTTAAAAGTTCACTTTAGTTTGAGTTGGCAGGACCAGTGCCTTTTTTTTTGTTGGGAAAAATCCTGTAGAACATTGGAGGAACTGTTTTCATTGATTGATATATTTTAATCCGACTTGTGTATCTGAACTGAACGTACTGGCTACTGCAACTTAATCTATAGACTTTATTGCTCGCTGATTGTTTTTATCTTTTTTAGATTGTATATGAAGACCATTGCTTTCATACTATGAAATGATGCCAATTGAATCCCAGTTTCGACTGACATATCAATATGGGTTGTTGTTGTTCAGTGACTTGCATATAATTCTGTATCCTTGATAAAATTTCTTTAGAACTTCAATTTATGCCCTTGTTTCTTATAAATTTTCATTGTATTTTATAGGAAGAAGAAGGTACCAAACTAGAGCATGAGAAGAAAGCCTTACTACTGCAAAAGCAAGAGGATGAACACTATGATTGGACCAAGACTGAGAAAACTCGCCAGAATGTTGAGAGTTTGGAGTCTGACATAATACGTTTACAGCAAGCTATAGGTGGACATTGTGCTTCTATATTGGCACTAATGGATGAGGAACTGTATCCACAACTGGTTGCTTTAACTTCGGGGTAAATGTACACATTTTTTAATTGACCCGTTTGCAAGAAAATCTCCCTTTCTTTATATAGACAGAGATATTCCACACTGCCACTTTCTGACTGAAGATGAACGAACATATATTTTTTTGTTCTCCATTTTCCTACTGATTCATTTGATCTCCTCACTGCCTATCTTCTCAATTTGCTTCCAGTTCACGTTCCTCAGTGTTGTATATCCTTTCATTTGCTCTGTGAAAGTATGATTTTTCATTAGTAAGAAAAATGTTCCTCTACTCCCCAATGCTCCCTTCCAAAAATAAAAAGAAAAGACATCAGTAATTTGGCTGCTTGCATCTATTCTTCCCATCAAAATGTATTCATCCTCATTTTGGCATGTCCTGGGAGTTGTGGGAGAGTTTTTAGATTACATATCTGTTTTGTGCCAAACCTGCTTTAAGAATGACAACAAAGAGAAAATGCACATGCACACATTTTACAAAAACTATACTATAGCTAAAATGATCTCTCTACCCTTTGGCCTTTTGTCAAATATATGTACTATAATTATCTTTAATTGTTTTTTTTTCCACTTTTCTGCATGATTCTTTTACAGGTTATTGCACATGTGGAAGATAATGTCTGAATGCCATCAAGTTCAGAACCAGATATCCCGGCAGTTGAACCATCAGATTAACAAGCACGATGTGGATCTAAGTACAGAATATCATCGCCATGCCACAGCTCAGCTTGCAGCTGAGATAACTGTCTGGTACAACAGCTTCTGCAATCTCGTGAAATATCAGAGAGAGTACGTAAAAACCCTCTGTAGATGGACTCAACTTACTGACTTCCTTGTCGATCATGATAGACGGAGTGTTTGTGCACCTGTGGTTCTTAACCTCTGCGAAAAATGGCAGGATGCCCTTGAAAGATTACCTGACAAGGTACACTTGGTCACAGTTAATTTTCAGTTTTTTAGTAGTTTGACCTTGTTCTGATGATGAAAGGGATGAATCGATGGAGAATGTTGTGGCAAATGCTGATTTTTTAGTTCAAAGTTCATGCAAAAATAAAAAATACAAATTCAATCCTAATCGAGCATATCTGAAAGTTATCTTTCACTCTTTTGTAGAAGATAAGATGCGTTCTTTTCTTTGCCAAGTCATACTTTAATATTATTCTGTGTCTAATCATGTTTTGAAAGATTGTAATCTTGTTTTATCTTTATTTTGTATGTGTGTGTTTTGGTTGGCTCTCCTTTGTTGCGGGCCTTCTCTTTTGTGTTACTCGATTTTGTTCTATCATTAACTTAATTAAAGTTAGGCTTCTCATAAAAGAAATTATTTCCCTTGAATTGGTGGAATTCTACTCATCTAGTGAATTTTTTTCCTCCGGCACCATTTATTACTTAAAAGACTTTGGAAATTAGCCAACTGTTAGTAATTTTTTTGTATTTTTACCTTGCATGAGAACCATCAAACTTCTAACTCCCCACCCCCAATTGTTTTCCACTCCATTCCCTCCTTGTCTTTCTTACAGGCAGCTTCAGAGGCAATCAATAATCTCTTGTCAGCCATAAACTCCATACTTCACCAGCAAGTGGAGGAACAAAACCTCCAAAGGAAATATGAAAAGCTGGACAAAAGACTCCGAAAAGAGATGCATTCGCTGGCAGAGATGGAAAAAAAGCTCGGGGGAAGCTCTCTGTCAGAAGATGGAAATGGCAATTTGAGCCCCAAGAACCCTTTGTTGCTAAAGCGTGCAAAAACTGACGCCTTGAAGAAGCTTGTCGACACCGAGAAGGCCAAATATCTGAACTCTGTTCAGGTTAGCCGAGCCATGACTTTAAACCATCTGAAAACAGGCCTCCCCAATGTTTTTCAGGCGCTCATGGGATTTGCTAGTTTCTCTGTACATGCTATGGAGTCTGTTTGTAGTAATGTTACACCACAGGAGTGTTGTGATGATGCAACAGTGAGCTCTACAAACTGAGTTTTTTAGCATTTTGAGAATGAGAACATGTTTTTACTACCAGAAATCACCTGCTCTTCAAGTTCTTATTTTTATTGGATCTGAGTTTAATCATCACATCTAGTAATGAAATGAAATTTTTTTCTGCAGATCGGTCACTTATAATATCCATTTTTTTTCTGTAAATGTGTCGGTTTCAAGTGTGTTTTTGAGTAATCCAAAGCTTCATCAAGTTAGAATGAGTTTGAGATTTTGAAGATCGAAGTATGATTCTAAAGTGAAATATTTGTATTTTTAACGAATTAAAATCACATTTCAGTCTTTCAAAGCTTTGGAAAAACTTATCACTAACAAGACTAGGACCACCCAAATTGGATGGTTTTGGTTTCTTTGTCCCATTAGTTTCTAACACTAAAAAAGTCTAAAAATGATAGGGATAGTGATATAACGAATTTCACTCTAATACGATCCATACAGATTTAATCAGAAATTTAAAAGAGAAACACGACGAGTCAATTTATATAAAACTTGTCCAAATTCAATCAATATAAACGTTTTTCCTTTCATATCTCAGCCAACTCAAAGCCTTAAACTTACCTCTATTGCTTGAACTTTTTCCCAAGAAAACTACAAACAAAGAAAAGTCCCATTTTTTTCCCTTTTTGTCCTTGGTATATCCCATTCCAAAAAGGAAAAGAGGACAAAAAACCTTACTGCCCCCAATAGTGAAATGTGATCAGGCAACATTTGGCAAAATGGAATTTCTTTTTTACTTCATTGATTCAAGAAAATCCATGGGGAGTTTGACCATTTTTGTTCTGATTTCAAGTTGTGGTTCTAACTTCTCAAGTTCCTAAAATCATATCTACCATCAATTACTATCTAATTTAAGGCATTCAATTCAATGTCTCTCTCTCTCTCTCTAGAGGTTTTGGGAGACAGTTCTTAGTGCTAATGGGAAAGGTGACAAATGAGTTATTCTATTCCCTGTTATCCAATAATCATACTCCAAGTTCAATGTTTCAGCCAATAACTTGAGGGAAAACTCAAGGACAAACCTTTCATAATCATGTTGATAATCCTCTAGCAAACCCCTAGCAATAAACATAGAGGTCAGTGGGAAGCCTGCTACTGTGGATTGATGGTGTTTCTTGACTTGTTGAGTCTACCCTGTTCATCTTTTGTTCTCTACTAAAAAAAAAAATGTTTGAAATATTAATCAAAAAGCATACTTTTGGTCCTTAGGCTTTGTTTCTCGTATGTATGTTTGTAACAATTTAGTACTTGTTATTTTAGAAAGGTAATAACTAAGTTCTTACGTTAAAATTTTAATAAAAATCTTGGATGAAAAACAACCTGCGGATACATATAAGGGCAAGTGAGTGAAGATGATGGATTTCATATGATTCGAAGTCAAATATGGTTCAATAGTTTGTATTAGTTGCTTTCAACTATACTTTTTACTTTTTATATGCAGGGATTCATTTTTAAAAGCATAAGGACTAAATTATTAAAAAAGAAATTTAAGTTACTAGAGTCAACCTTTAATATTAAAATATGTTCTTAGCTTTGTTGATATCTACTCTTTTTCTTTTAAGCTTTTAGAATCGTTATTCAACAGAAGTTTAGTAGTTATTGTTCCTCTCAAAGTAGAAAAAGTTCATATTGTTTTAGAATTTAGATACTCTTCAATATAATTGTGATGAGTGAATTTCTCACTTCAGTTAAGTACTTTGTATAAAACCATATGGATTGGTCTAGTGGTTAAAGGATTAGGCGTGAGATTAGTCAAGGTGTACGCAAGCTGGTCCCGACACTTACAAATATTTAAAAAAAAAAGGAAGAAAGAAAGTGCTTAACATAAATATGGCTTATTGTTACATGTGTATATGTTCCTCCCCATAATGGTTTAGATCCATTATTCTTTTTCAACACTAAAGAAGTTGGACTTAGAGTTCTTATTCAAGCCAACTTTCTCAACTACTTTTGCAATATCCTTTATGGGGAGTGCCTTGAAGAATATAAGTTAGAATTAGATGCATTAATTTTGTAACCACCAACTATTTTATTACACCCCATTAGGGTAATATAATATATAATGCTTTTGTGATCTCATTTAACCATTAATTCTTTTCAAAATTTCAAAATTTCATGACAACATCCCCCCCCCCCAAAAAAAAAAAAAAAAAGAAAAAATGAGCATCTTCAGTTACCTTTAGGAAAGGGATAAAGTTATAGAATAATGGTAATTGCAAGGAATAGGACTTCTGAAACCTCCTTCCATTTTGCCATTTCTAAGTGCAATCAACAAGATTAATAGGAACATGATTTTGCCTTAACAATCTCATGTTGCTTTCTCTATGAAAACTGGCTTTCTTGAAAGTAGGATTCATGTTTATATAATAGTTCATAAGTTTGAGGGAAGTTTGAAAAATACAGAGCAATTGTTCAAACTCACTACTGGTTTTACTTGTTAAACTTATGCAGATATCATACATAAAAAAGGGCATGTCTAGAAAGCCTAGACATGTCCATGTCACAAGCCCATGGACTTGAAAGAATCACTAACAAAATACCGCATCTATTACGAGTATTTGGAAGCTTCATACAAATACGTAATGATATGTATATTACTTTGTGTTTCGGGTATTCAACTCAGGAAGGCTGTGGCATAAGAACTTCAAAGTGAGAATAGTTTGGGAAAGATCACTTTGGGCACATATAATTGCAGGATCAAAATATTGCTCATCCCATCAACTTTTCATCTTGTCACTTCACATTTTAAGTGCAAGAGGCACACATTTGACTTTTGAGCCATATATGATGGAACTAGAGGCAATCATTCTCACTATGCGTTTCGATGACACATTCAAAATAACGACTGTGGCGTTTCGATTTCAAGTTCTTGCTGCAGCTACTAAACCTTTTGGAGTGGAGATCAGATCTACCTAGCATCCATTACTTTCTTTCTGACTATTCATCTTTTTGTGAGATTTGACGTGTTGTTCCTCTAGTGCCATGGAAAAATATTATAAATGGGAGATTCCAAGATATTAGACAGCCAGTCCTGGCCATAGCTCTCTGGCTTTCTCTCTCTCTCTCTAAATCTCCAAATTTGATGCTTGGCACTATAGATTAACAAGAAAGGGCATCATAAGATTATAACAACCTCACCGATATCGGTCCTTGTAAACTTTGGCTGCATTTCAAACGTCAGCATTGTGATGAGTCATGAGATTATTTCCTTATCTGACTGTTAAAGGTTCTAAAGAAAGGGAGCAGAACAAAAATGAAAAAACATTAAGATATTCTGATACTAGTTGCTTTTTATAACTAGTGGTACAAGTTGCATTGTCTTAGATCACTTCCATTTCCCTATCAGCAAAAGGCTCAGCAGCTTATAAATATGTGTGTGTGTTTCCACAACTAAACTCATATTTCACAAGTCTTTGGGCAGGCATCATATTGATTAGAAGCAAAAAGGTGCAAAAATGAAGCCTGTTGTAGTAATGCTTTCGATTAACCTTGCGCTCGCTGGTGTAAATATACTACTTAAGGAGATTCTTAGTGAAGGGATTAGTCAGCTAGTTATCGTTATGTACCGGCAAACAATTTCCGCTCTATTCTTGTCGCCAATTGCCTATTTTTGGGAGAGGTAAGGGCACCTTGACTTGTCCAGAAAATATCAGTTCCTTTACCATGGAGTCTGCATTTTCCTTATTATCCTTGTTAAGTTTGCTCTGTTGTGTGAAAAGATTAAATGCTATAGAACTATAGAGTTGTCTTTTTTTGATGAAATGCAGGAAAACCAGACCTCAGCTTACGGCTTACATCTTATTCCTCCTTTTCATCAGTTCCTTAGTTGGGTTAGTAATAGCATCTTTTGTAAACTTTACCATAACTTTATGATGTTATTGTCACTATGAAACTTTGGAAAGATGTACAAATGCAGGCTAACACTAACATTATATCTATTCCTAATTGGTCTGCAATACACATCTGCCACTTTCTCTTGTGCATTTCTCAACCTGGTGCCCGTAAATACGTTCATTCTAGCCGTATTGTTCGGGTGCGTGTCAAAAAATTGTAGTGCATTTTCTTTCTAAATATTAACTCAAATGTGATGATAGTAACTCTGGTTTCAAAATATTTCTAGTATGGAGAAAGTGGACATGAAAAGCAAGGGTGGAAGAGCCAAAGTACTTGGGACACTGGTTTGCATTTCAGGAAACTTAATTTTGATTCTGTACAAAGGAATGCCGTTAACCAGCCCGGGATCAGCAACCGGGAAAACAAACGGGGTTCATCCGACAGTTCAACCTGAAAGGCCAGAGAGATGGTTGATAGGTTCATTGGTTTTGACTGCAGGCTGCTTCATGTGGTCCTCTTGGTTCCTAATGCAATCAAGGGTAGGCAAGGTTTATCCATGCCAATATTCTAGTACCTGCATCATGTCCTTTTTCAGCGCCATCCAGTCGGTGGTTTTACATTTGATTATCGACACAAAGAACTCTGTGTTCGTCGTGAAAGGGAAGTCTGCTATCTTAAGCCTCATATATGCTGTAAGTATCAGTTTGTTTTTTCTAACTTCAGCAGCTATTTGTATCTAAAATTCTTTGCAATTTGATGATATTGTGATGGGTTTAACAGGGATCAGTGGGTTCAGGGTTGTGCTATGTGGGGATGTCATGGTGTGTGAAAAAGAAAGGGCCAGTTTTCACTGCTGCTTTTACCCCTTTCATGGAGTTGTTTGCAGCCATATTTGATTTCTTCATCTTGCATGAGCAGATTCACCTTGGAAGGTCCACTATTTCTCTTTCTTTTTGCTTTCCTTTTTTGTTCACAAAAGACCAACCACCTTGAAAGATCAAATTCCTTGGTTCTGTCTGCTATTTTTCAAAAGCACTTTCAAGATCTTAAACCAAATCTCAAAACCAAAAGTGGGTATTTGAAAACTACTTATTTTAGTTTCTAAAACACCCCAAAATCATCATCAAACAAGCTTGGAAAATTGCTGATTTCATATCTAGAGACAGAATCAATGTTGTAACAACTAATTAACAACATACCACTTCAAATTCATCTAGATCAAAACTATATGAACTATATGAACTAATTAACAACATACCACTCAACTAATTAACAACATACCACTTCAAGTTTTGGCAGAGACTATATGAACTCATGTCAAAAAGTTTTTGGTGGCAGTGTTGTGGGGTCAGTGTTGATCATAAGTGGAATGTATATTCTTCTGTGGGGTAAAGATAGAGAAGCAAAGGAATGTGCTGTGAAGCAAACTGTATCAGTTGAAGAAGGCTATGGTGATTCAACCATACCATCATCAAATACAAATGCAGTGGAGCAGATTTAGATACAAACATCTTCATTTGCCTTTTCATTTCCTCTAAAAAGTTCCCATACTTTGTTAGATTGGAAGAAGCCAAATAAATATATGTGCTAATTTTGTGCGTTATGCTAAAATTAACGCACAAAATTACTAATAACTATGTGAGAATTATAGTTAGATTACATTTGGAGCTCAAAATGAATCATCATTTTTGTTGATCTTTCTAGATTTTTATATTCTGTAGAGCCATGGAAGAGATATATTCTTTTCCTAATTTTAAAAGAATACAATAATAGAGGAATACCATAATATTTTAAAATTTATTTACTAAAAAGTAAAATAATATATCTCAAGTTAGCGTAACTTGCCAACCTATTCGTTTTAGGCACAATAAATAAGTTAAAACTAGTGTTTGGGGAAGAGAATACCCTGGACACGTGGAGGACCCCTATTGGTGCTCCAAGATGACTCATGAGTCATGCCCAGCTCGGACCGCTGAGATCACCACCACTAGCGTTGACAGATGCTAAGTATGAGGGCCGAGGTGAACCTGGCCGAGGTCCGACCTACCGGGAAGCTCGGTAGGGGCCGATGTGAGCTACTGTCAGCGGCGTGATTATCGGGTGTAACCGTCGGTCCCGAGATTACCGGGTGTAATCGTCGCGAGATTAGCGGGACTACCACCCATAAGTAGAGGACCTCACTCCACGATCAGGTATGAGGATTTTCTGATCTCGAACTAAACTGGGAATCCGACCTATACTGACTTGATCGTCGGAGTGCTCACCTTTTTGTGCAGGTCCGCCCAAGTATTCAGATCGGTCCGGAGGCCGAGTTCGAGTTGCAATCTGAAATACACTGTTGTGCATATCCTTGCATAAACATTTGGCGCCG